AAGGATCGGGAATGGCCAGAGCTGTTCGCTCTCGGCTTTATTCTCGCACATGCTTCAGGTGGCAATGAATTTTTGGTGCGTGGCTTGATTGTAAATTGGAGCATAAAAATGTTTTACAAACCCACTCTACCTCGGACCAGTTCTTATGCAAGAAGCAGCCAGGCAAATGGATGCATGTACATCATACATTTATATTTTTGCGTTAAAAATGCATTTATTGTTATATACTCCCCGGCATTCGTATGTGTATTCCTGTTTTCCAGTGCAATTTTCATCTGGTTTTCGTCTGTGTGTTTGTGGTAAATGAAAAATGCAAGCGGTGTGAAAATGCAGCTACAAATATCCACCACCGCATTGCCGTCGCGACGTCACTCTGCCATTTCTTGCATAATGACATTGACATGCCGCATGCTGTTGGCATACTTTTGCATGCCACTATTTAAAATCCCTTAAATTGCATGTCATTAGAGGGGAAAGTAAGGCATATCCTCAAGGACGAAAGCACTCTTCTTGGGGGGCTTCATCTTCGGTTAAAGGTGTTTGGCAGACTCGACTCAACAAGTAGACTCAAGACGACTTGTCTCCTTTGAGGTCTTCTGGGGCGTCTGTTTTTTAATGAGCAAACGGGGACAGACAGTCAACGCATTCCAATAATTGATTTTTCCTACCCCAATCCAACTGGATAAATGCCGAAAAGGTAAGGACTAAAATATACCTACTACCTAATATTTTATTAACATATTTTTTTATGTAAGTATCGCCAATGTTCTCTCTCAAGACCAAAAAAAGGTTAACTTTTTTTTTACTAAAACAGGTTCTCAATGAAACTCTAGTAGCGTAACGAATTAAGCTAAGCTTTATACAATTTGCTTCCGCCAATGGTTAAACTAGCCATGAATAACTCAATTTTTGTAATACGTTTTTTACGTGAAGTTTCCTTTAAGAATGCCCAAGTTACCTTGCTCACTTATCGTTGATTTCAGAACAGCAATCTCGGTTAACCTACATTATTTAGATGCTGAAATAAAAGTTGATTCAACTATTTGAGCGCGCTCAACTTCAACTTTTCGTTCCTCCTGGAATTAAACAAAAGTTCAATTAACTTATCAACGAACAATGCCAAGCACTTAGGGTCAAAGTCACTAAGCGAATCTTTACGCTTATTTGCATTCAATTCGACGACTTTCAATGGCCTGCAAAACAGTGCGTGAATTTGTGCCAAATTTGATTCGCTGGTGGCACATAATTCACGCTTGAGGCAATTTGAATGCCCGATAATAAGCACAAAATGCCACAAGTTCTGTTCCGACTTTTATTGACTTACTTAGGTTCTGGTTTTGATTATAAATTTAACAAGTGCGCCAGGGCAATGTGAATAATTTTCCCATCATTTTGCATTTTGAAGGTTGTCTGTTGACTTCGTCCTTCCAATGCCACAAATTGGCTTAAGTTTCGATTGGTGGGGTCAATCAATAAATTACCGAATTCGTCTCGACCCACTGAAGTAGGTTTTAATTTAATATTGAATCTGTGTGTTTGCCCTGTTATGCGACGGACAACGCGGCGTATGGGTAATGGCAAAATAATCAATGCCGCATCCTTGGAAGAATCTGCCACAAAATCCTTCGGTCATGGCGCATAAATATGCCAACGATATGGTTGCCGTTCGAGTATTTTCCTTTCTGTTCGATTCGATTCGACTCGATTCATCCTGCTGCTTTTTCGCCATTTTTGCATGTCTGGGACGTGTCTTTAGTATGGCGCTGATTTAAATTCTTAAAAGGTCAGACGAAAGTGCACTGTGGGCCTTGAATAGACTTAAATAATCATACATTTTGCTATACATAAAAGTGTTAATTACTGTGGTTCCCCGCCAAATGGTAGTTTGTAATGATTACCGTCTTATAAGATTTAATTGAGGAGTATCCAACCACATAACCTTACCATTTTATCCACTGTGCTTAAGTACTTTGGATGCCTTTTTGGAGCTGGGCACGTCTTGGGCCGCCTAGTTGGGCCATTCGAAGCCAAGATGTCTAGCCCGGCTTATAACAGTTCAATGCTTCCAGTTTGATATGGGTTTAATTTGCTTGTTGCATTTCCAGAACCCGTCGTATTGCTTACTCTCAGGATTCCCATGGGAGCCACAACTACAGCTTGGTCCTGACAGCCAGGGGGGTGGGGGGTGCGTTGTCCTTTTGGCCAACTGGAAAGTTATACCTTCCAGGAAAGTGGAAAGTGGGACACACCTCGGCACACGCTTATTAGTTGCCCAGCCAAGCTTTGCGTATTAGTGTCAGGTCCAATGCCATGGCATTTGTGTTGCGGCCAGTCAGACGAGGAGTCCTGGAGTCGAGAAGTCCGGACCAGAAGCTAATGGTTGAACCGGAACCGGTCGGGCTTCACCCAACGCCAATTCCCCTGTCACTTGCACAACGGGCTTCCTCGAGAAGTCCCCGTAGTAAATGCCAAATGATGCATATTTCATGGGAGTTGTTGGGTCCGCCCAAAGTTGCATGAGGAACATCAGTCAAATAGTATACATGGAACAAGTTTTTAATTTGATTTTGAAAGGTATAAAAATAAAAGTAATTTTTTTAAAATCACCCTTTAAAACTAAGATATACATAAGCAATGGAAAAAAAGATACATTTTTAAAAAGCAATACCTAAAAAAAAATTTATTATAATACAGTTCATGTTTTTATTTCCTATTCCTCTTGAATATCCGCTTTAAATATAAAGATTTCTTCCTGTTTTGTTTCTTATAAACATTTTTTATTAATTTAAACCTGTATTGTTCACGTTTTAGAAGCACACAAAACCTGCTATTATACTGAGCATCATTGTTTGAAAAGCTTCCTAAATACATTTTATCACACCCAGTGAAGTTGACGATAAATTGATTTTGATGGTTTCCGAATGAGTCTGGGAGTTTTAAGAGTTATTTAGGTTTGCGGCTGGATTGTATTGTGTTTTCTATTGCGCTTTTCAGTTTTCTTTCATCTCCAGCATATTTAATGAAACCCGAAATCCCTCAATCTGTACTTGACGCATATGGCAATACTTACGGGCTGCCTTGATAAATATTGAAATAGATGTCAATAACATTTTCACACGCTGTGTGGCCCCGAAACCCACACCTTTCTGCCTTTCGACCAGCTAGCCCCGGGATAAATGGATAGCTCAGAGACATTTTTTGGGCCTCGTGCGTGTCGCACCCGAAAATCTGTTAATAATGATGCTTGACATATGTAGGCAGTTGGCCGTAAGTCGGGCCCAAACAAAAGTGGAAGCCAACCGAAAGCCGGCGCATTTGTGCGCGTGAAATATGTTTTGTCAACTTATTAAATATGCTCACTTCCATTTCCCTGCTCCTTTTTTCGGTGAATTTGTTTTGTCTGCCCTTTTTCCCGCTGTGGCTTTCGATACGTGCCGGGGCATTTGAATGGTCGTAATGGCACAAACAAACGCGGTCGGTCTGGTTGGTCGGATCTGCATGGGTTGGCCCCGGGTCTTATGTGGCTGGGCTGAATTGATGTTGATGAAATTATAAGGTACGAGCTTGTGGGGCCGAGGGCGTGATTGAGCTCTATTGGCATGGAATTGAAATGAATTATATCGGCAAAATATTTGCTGAAACATTGATGAAGTAAGGCATCACAGTTGTGTCATCTAAATATTTTTGGGCCGCGAGGAATTTGTGTTTGCGTTGCAAAACTGCAGGGTTATGTCAATTTTATAGCCACCATTATTTAGACCGCTTTCGGGCATTGATAAATAAATTATACAGTTTAAGATAACATGATCTGTTTAATGTCATTTGTTACTTTAAATTTATACAAAATACTTGGACAGTTTCGTAAATTCCGTAAATAATTAACACAGGCATCCGAGCGCATTTCGCGTAATTGTACACATTCAGTTAATTATATAACGGTGAATAATTCAATCAATCTTATGATGAAAACGAAATATATTTTGAAACAGAAAACAATTTTCATTATACCACCACAACCTCAACCGTTATTCAGTTTGCCTGGGGAGAATAAAATAATCATCAACCGAGTCACACATATGGCCACAGGACATTCATCTGAGGGAATGACCAACATTTTAGAGTCCTGTCCGCCTTGCCTTACCATTCAACTCCCAGGTTTATTGTCAATTGCAGGCAGCAGGCAAAGCTCTCTGTTCCACAGCACTTATTTTTATTTAGCCAAAGAAAAACAAGATGGGATAAAAGTGAATTCGTGCTGGTTTCTGTCCACCGATGTCGATATACACTAAGTGATAAAATTTATTGATTCCGCAGATTAAACTAGGGAAGAGACCCGAATATGATCAGTCATACAAAAGATTTTAGGATTGTTTGATATCCAGAAGTATTAACAAAATATTAAGCATGTTAAAAAATGGTCACACATTTTTGTTACTACTGTAATAAATATTTAAATTTACATTTTTTAGGTTTGAATTTAAGTTAAAAGCTAATAATCCATAGTTTCAGCAAACTTCTCAAAGGGTTCGCACTAACCCAATCTAGGGTATGGCAATCTACCGTGTCTCAACTCGCACTGAAAAGATACTTTATCCGTTTCGAGGACGGCTGCGTGGCGATTGTCGGGCAGATGGACTGTTGTGTTGCCCCTTCGCTCGGTTGGCAGTATTTACAGGTAAAAACCCCATTGAAATGTGGCCCCGTGTTTTGTTTGGGAACAATCTGCTTTTTGTTTTCGCAGTCTCGGCGGCGCCAAGTGAGGAAAAAAGACGGAACAAAAGCAGCACAACTTCATTTTAATGGAGTAGACAACGTCAGCCATGGCGACACAAAACGGCGCCACACTAGAATCTGGTTGGTCCTGCGGGGATCCTGCGATGCCACGCCCCTTTTTGCCACATTTAGTTCGCCCTTTTATCGAAATGGTGTGGGCGTCACGACCCTCTTGCTTAATTGTGGCATTAAATTTTAGTATTAGCAGACATAACTTTCAGCCACCTTCATTTTATTGTTAGCCATTTGTGGTTGCAATTGAAAATTGAACAACGGTTATGTAATTACTAGGGATTTCGGTATAATTTAAAAATACATTTCCACACACATTAAAAAATATTGAAGCTCTAAAATTATTTTAGTTGCACAATTTGATGATCCAATTATTTATTATGTTTTGTTTAAATATTGGCTAATATTCTCTAGTTTTTCACTTAAAATACTGTACAAATCATTGTTTTGAAAATAGAAATCCTCTTTCTCCTTCTTATTGACAATGTGATCATTATTTTTTATATAACCTAAAAATAAATTTAAAATAAAAAACTCTTTAGTGAATTACACTATAAACATTATAGGCATGTACTTATATTTACCATCAATTTGTGGTTCGTAGATACCAACATTATAATGATCGCCACTACCATAATGATCCCCACTTCCATGGTGATGATGATCACCACTTCCATGATGATAGTGATCGTCACTTCCTTGGTTATGGCCGCTACCTTCGTGACTTCCACTGCCTTCCACTTCTTCACTCACTTCAAGGTCCTGAAACTTAAATTTGTTAATATTTTTCACCTAACTTGGACGGTAAATAATTTATGAGAAGTGATTTTACCTCTGGGGGCGTTGAAAGTCGAGTTGATAAGGCATATTTTCTCCCTTTTTCAGTGCTGTTTAAAATCTGTAAAATGGGAATACCAAATGTAAGCTTCTTCTTCTATTAAAATAAAATATTATATAAAAAAAACTTCAACATGAAACTCTGAGATTAAAAAATGTCGGCGTTTTTTTAAATTTCTTGATTTTTTACTGAAACTCATGTAGATTACCTTCTCATTTGACTGATGAGTCATCCTTACATTTTCCGTTAAAGTGGTTATTTCCTCTAAAGTACTTGTCGTCGTAGTTGTTGTTGGCGTAACTGTTGTGGAAGCTGCGGCTGTAGCTTTATGATATAATTGTACAAATTATATTTACTTTTACTTACCTTCAATTTGTGGCTCATAAGCACCTTTACCACTACCACTTCCTTCAACTTCTTCACTAACTTCGAGGTCCTGAAATACATATTTTTTTAAGAATCTAGTATTGCTTTTTTTAAGGTTAAGTTAATATTTCGGGTAGATTGCTAGGATCATATATTATCAGAAGTGGATTTACCTCTGGGGACGTTGAAAGTCGTGTGAATGGAGTATCCATAGCTTTAGTAAGTGGTATTTCAGCTGTGCCTTCTTTAGTTGATGCTTTAGTATTCTGTATATGATTATTGTTAAGAATCTGTAAAAGAAAAACGAAAAATGTAAGCGCAAATTGTCGAAACAACTCAGATTACTGCTTTTGAGCATGAGTACATTACCGTAATCGATGAATTTTCCGATGAAGTGGTTGATGCTGATGTCATTATTGAATCATTCGTCCTTGTAGTTGTTTTCGTAGCGTTTGGTTCTGTTGCTGGTGGAGTTTCGAAATTCGTGTTTTTTTCTGATAACATGAAATTATCAACTTTTAAGATGTCACTTGGTTGAAACATTTTCAAATTAAATGTAATGCTCAATGTATCATTATTTGGAAGTTTTATTTGCACATCTTGATTATCAGTATAATCGTTGAGTTCTATATAAATAACAGTCATATTAACATGTTGTGGTATTATAAGGGCGTAGAGCACTATAATAATATGTATTTTTGACAGCATCGCCGATTTGAATAATTTATTTTTATTTTGCGATCCGGAAATATTTGCGTCCTAACGCGAGAGCTTTCATTAAGTTTCTGTTCTCATTCAAATTAACGTTTGCCAAATAACTGGTCGGTTATCTTGAAAAATATTATATATTCATGTATATATATGATTAAGGTCACGTGAATTCTCAGAAATCAAACGATAAGGGTTCTAGCTAAACTTGAATATGAAACAATCGTGCTGAAAATAGCAGGGAATAACCCTTTATCACCAATTAACATTTTGAATCCGGATTACTTTATGGTAATGTGTTCCTGGTATAATTAATTACTTGATTAGCGACAAGCAATTTAATTCAGCTGTCAAAAGCGAGTACCCCTATATCACCAAATCAAATTTGTACTTTCTGATTAGCCTAAGTTATTGTGTCTTTAGTGTTGGTAATTATTTTTATTAACAAATAAAATAAATCAACTCATTAAAGCAAAGTTTATGGGGTGAAACTAATACATTTGAAAAATTAAATGGAACTAAATGTGTATTTTAAGAAATGAAAGTACTTACTTTTAACAATTTACAATTTTTCTACATGTTAATTTTACTTTAATCCCATCTCTGACCCAACATTGCTGAACAGAGATCTGATATTTGCCCATTTAAATTCAAAAACGTATATATCCAAGCATTCCTTAACTAAAATTCCTGATGGACTCCAACTATGCTTCGACCACTACGATGCTGTTCAATGGAAGTCCGCTGTGCATTTCGCAGGCCAGATTTCCTGAGGCCCGGCTCGTCGCGTGGGATGCAAATGTAAAAGCCATGGCCCAAAGCTTTCAGATCCCGCTCTTCATGGCCGGCTCAAGCGATTGGGAAAGGTGTCATTAACAAAGGCCACCTCGGCGAACCACCGCACCACCCGCAGCCATCGAACCGCCCACTATTTTCCAGCCGCGTCAACATAATTGATGAGTTTCGCTCTAAGCTAGAGGCGAATGTCGACATCGGTTTCCCGTGAGCAGTGTTTGTATGTTTGCGGTCACCTCTCACACAGATACTCACACGGACACTCACACAGATACCCACGCACACCACCAAACTATGCGGGTGTTCGCCGGTGCTGGTAAATTGGCTTACTTTGTCGACAGCTCAAGTCCCTCGGGTGTTTATTGAAATTTAGTTGAAAATAGCTAAACACTTAAGTTGGCATTTCGGGCCCATCGGAAGATAAATGATGGCCATGCATCCGTTTATTAAGTTCCTCTCTCTGACGTCACAAACTTTATTGTGGGTACGTCGTGGAGGCCGTTGACAGCTTGGAATGGCTATAAATTCACTTATTTTTACTATTTTTACCAACCAAATTCCCAAGTTGGATGTGTGATCTACATAACAGAGAGCTAACAATTTGTACATTAAAATGTCAGTTCCAGCGGTATAAAGCAACAAAATAATTGCGGTAGTTATAAAATAAAGTTTTATAAAACTCGAACAAATAAATTTTCTAGCTAGATTTATTACTTGAATCCACTTTCTATATAAAGCTACAAAATATTAAAGCTCAAAAAACAGATGTTGCTTCTGTAAGCACTCAAAAAAAATTTCAATTAATTCAAGAAATTAATCACGATGGGCGCAGTTCACGTAGTGACGAAGCGCACCAGAAGAGTGTGCAAGAAGAAATAAAAATCTGCAATTGAAAGGTTTCGTAAAAACTAATAGGATTGTATACTAAGACAAAAGTAACAATTTAGAAAATTGTATCAGTTGGGGCCATTGTGGATGAAGGCCCCAATTTATAAGCCAAGTTATATTTTTATTGAAAATATGCGTCGGGTTACACCTCATTTGTTAAAACTCGAATTTTGGGACTTTTCAAAATGAAAATTTTATTTTATCCGTCAGTTTTTCCCAAAATGTTGTTTTGGGTCCTGTAAATTTTATATTTTAGATGACGTTAATCAGTTTAGTGAAAAAAATTTCAGTTCTACCATTTTTGGAAAATTCCGCTACCTTGGAGGGAAAACAGATATAAATAGCTAGATTTCGAACGACCGTAACTTGTGAACTACCAAAGCTACAGACTTGAGCTATATGTCATTGAAAAGGTATTTTTAAATACTATGTGCGCTATGATAACCTGATTTATCTAAATACCACAGTTCAAAAATAATGGCCTACATTTTTTAAAATCGGATTTTGATAGCTTTTTTCTCTTTCTTGAAGGTGCGATCGTCACTAGTTTTTTGGCTCGTTAAGAGGTGTTGTTAGTGGAGATTTCTCTACTATTTTGTATGGCAGTATTTGTACTTCCTTCCGCTAAAGACACACCTGCTTTTTATAACAGAAATATATATTCAAGGACTGCAACCCAAAAGATAATGTGCAAAAAATTAAATGAATTAAGCCAAGGACATTCCACGCCCACCCCGTTATTTGCGCTGATGGGCATGGCATTGTCCACGCGGGGCAACCTTTTGTTCACCGCGCACCTGTGAGTCATGGCCCGGCCCATGCTGTCCCCGGCGAAGGATCTCAGCTGCTTGGCGACCTCGACGCCGCACAACAGGGCGGCTCTCGTATAATAGCAGTCCAGGACATCGTTGAAGATGTGGCACACCTTGGTGGCATTCCGCCGCTCGTACCAATCCGCTGGAGCCTCGCACTCGATCATGTCCGTTCGCAGTTCCCGCAGGCAGTTGTGCGACTCCTGGAGTCCTGTGCATCGCTTCCGGTTGCTGCCATCGCCGCCCTCACAGACTTCCGTCTGGAAGTAGCTGAGACCATCCTTTAGCCGCCCGTAGATATTATCCGGTGCCAGGATGCAGTTGCGCATGGACTTCCTTATGTTGCCCAGCACATCGGTGATCTCGGCACAGGAATCAGTTAGGGAGGGCTGGGCCAGCAGCAGTACAATCCTTTCGGGACTGACCACATAAAGACGGGCCAACTGCATCAGGACGGGATTATCGTCGCAGATTCGCTGTCCTGGTTGTTTTGATCCCGACACCCTTTCACAGCCGGCTATTCCCCCTGTCAGCCCCACCGCCGGGGACTTGGGTTCGTAGCCAGGCGGACAGGTTGCATCCGTCTTGTTCTTGTGACCTCCGCCATGTCGCGTCGAATGCGGGGCCAATCCGTAGCGCTGGAAGTACCAGGGAAACCAAATCGCCTCACCCGTCTCCAAATTTCCCAGCAGCTGTAGCAATAGCAGCAAAGCTGTCCACTTTTCTGGCATGTTTCTTTATTATTTCTGATATTTTTTTAGGAGCTTGAGCTTTATCTGAGGGAACTGGGTTAGATGGGCATTACATATAACATAAGAGAGATATGGGGTTCTTTGGGGCTACCAATTTTTTTATGTTGTACTATGACTTTATAGCAAAAAAACTATTTGATGCATAGGAAAGGATATAATTACCTTTATTTTCATAGTAACTCGCCACGCCGCGAATTCTTGTGGTCCAGATAGTCAATCGTGGCATATTCATTTAATGGCTTGGGTTATTATCAACTCACTTATTGACTTCTTCGGTATATATATATTACTTTACTAGACCGGGTCACTTGAAAGCCAACCAGAACCGACCTTACCTATAATTTGTATTTAACCTGACCTACTTGATCTGTTTTTGTTCAGGGTGTTTGGGCTTAGGTAAAAAGCAGGTTACTTATGCAAGGCTCTAATAGGAACTAAGAATTATAATTTGTAACATTTAAATAATAATGTACTTCGGTGCAGTGCTCTGTAAACATGGTTACAAATAATAAATATTAAAAGCATTTCAAGAAAAAAGGAATATATAATTTATATAATAATACAAGCAACTTTAAATTCCATGCAAGCAGCATTTCATATATATGATCATCTGCCATACTGCACACAATAGCTGCAAATCTTGGAAAATCACAGTCGCAAAAGCACACCTCATAATACCCACTAAGCTTATGCATCGGAGATTTTATCAGGGTTTTCTTTCTTCATTCGACAACCGTTTCATTCTGTGCGAAATTATCACAGAAATTGCAAAAGGCAACGCAACCACTCCTTCCCTCCGCAGTGCTGACACAATAAATTGTTAAATTTAAAATGAAATCCTTGCCTTTTATTCTGTCCATTGGGATCTCGGCACCACTTAGTCCCCGCAGCCAAAACGGACGCGCTCCGAGGGGAGTTCCTTATCAAAGCGCACACCTTGAAGGACTCTCTGAATTTTTTCGAAGGACTTACGGGTTATATGTGTGTCTTGTCTGTGCCGAGTGAATTTTATTAGCACTCATAAGTTGTAAAGTGTATGGGCAGAAGGCAGCGGAGACAGAACAAGATGATTTCCGAGGATCTCCCTTCACTACTGTGTCAGACTTTTGTGCGTTTGCCGCACTTCATGTTAAACAGATTTTTATTGCAGCTTTTTATTTGCCCGGCCCCAGCTTCCCCTCTCTATGAAATTTTCTTTGTCGCTCATTTCGCCTGCCGTCGCTTTCTTTTATTTTTTTATTATTAAGCATTTCGCTGCTGGAGGAAATGAAATATTTTTGCATGTAAAAACCATTCGACTTCATGCTGTGACAATGTTTTCGCGCTGTTTATGTGGACGCTGCTCTTGCCGGCGCTTCTCTTTTTATTTTATTGCATTTTATATTTCTGTTCATTTCCGTCACGTAATAAAATAACAAGGTAAACATGCAAAGAGCAACAATTTAAGCGCATCATAAATAAAAAAGGGAGCTTTGAATTCCCAAGGATGCAGCACTTCATCACACTTACATTGTCTTCATCGGGCCCAGGGAATCGAATTCATTCCCTGTCCTACCCGGTGTAACTTCATTAGGCCTTCCCAATCATTAATCTTTGGCTTCGGGCTTATAACAGATTGTAATGTGTCCTGGGCAGGACCTACATACAACAATTAACTGGCCAAGAGTGAGGGGGATGGGAACAAGTGTGTCCTGGGCATTATCTAATCCAGTCAATGGCAAAATTATGTCATTAGCTTCAGCCGTGTTCAAATTTGCCCAATGAACTGTGTTAAATTTTCCGACTAATTGCTTCTGTATGCGTATGTCCTGTCCAGGATGCTATTGGCAAATTGTTGTGCGCCACAAAAAAAAACTACAGAATAAAGCAACCAACACAATGTATAAAAATTAATTGGTTTTTGATGTGCTGGCCAGGGAAATGAGATGAAGGCCCAGAAAGATGGTGTATAATTAAAGTGATTGCTTGTGGAGCAAAAAGACCACAGAAATTCAGAAAGTTGTGGCTTTAATTGAAGGTCAGTAAAATTGCATAACCTCCATCTGTTTATTGATTGAAAACAGCATTTTCTCTTAAATTACTAACTAGTATAAATATTTTTAAAACGCATAATTGTAATGTGGATTATTCAATGGACAAAATGTAATAATCAACCCACTTTTGATGCTTTTTCACAGTGATTTGTCTATGGGCGGAAACCTACTGCATTTTAAGTGCATAATTTTGCACATAATTTAATGCAATTAATGGAACATTAAAAATTGAACGTTAAGCAACAAAAATTAAAACAAATGGCCGGATATTTAAGAGCATAAAAAAGAACTTAATGAAAGTCACTCACACGCCGGCACATGGAGATATCTGCATGATTGTTTGTTTGCTGCTGCGTCGGCGAGCATAATTAAAATGTCAAACACGGCATAAATCATTTTTCAGTTAATGTTAATGCACTTACGCCAGGAACTGTGCTAAATTTTTAATTGCATTTCCATTGCCATTAAAATCAATAAAAAGGCAAATGACTGTGGGGGTAATAAAAAGGCTCCCAAAACTCTGTTTAACTACCGAGAGCACTTTTTCATACCCCTGCAAAAAAAAAAAAGATCTTGTGAAAACAAAATCGAAGAAAAATGACACTTAATTTCGTCCAGAATTAACTTTTTAGCCAGCTTCCAGGTGCGGCTGCCTCCGAATGGAAACCTAATGAAAAAGCCAACAAAGTAGGGTCATTTTGGTAGGGGCGGCGAATGGGTAAATGGAAATTAGATTGCCTTGGCGCCTTGGTCACCCGGCAGACAACAACTTGATACAACTTTTCGGTCCCCCTGGATCCCCCATCCCGATCCCAAAGGGGAATTCAGGACTTCGGGACTCCAACTGGCGGCATAACTAGTTCAAGTCGCTTCCAGTAATTATAAATTTACCTAGGGAATTACCTGGCCCCCCGTTGAGTGGCCATCCAAAAGGAGCGCAGCCGAGGTGGGTTTGGTTAAAACTTCTGAGTGCGGATAGTGCAGCCAGCTGAAGAGAAGCTAACTAACTAACTAACTAACTAACTTGCTTCAAGTAATAATATTATTGATAGATTACGGTGCGCCTCAAGTGGGTTTGTTTTCGATGACGGGTGGGGTGGTGATAAAGGCAGTGGTGCCCCGGAATGGGGTTAAGTATTTTAATGCCGAAGTTAACAAAGTGGATCCGAAAGTCTGTTTGCACTGCAGTTTCCCGAGTGGCTGTCATGCCAAAGGTAAAAGTAGTTTAGACATTTGTTGGAGCCTTTATGAAGAGCGGCTGGAAATGGCTACAGTCCTAATTAATTTTCTAGTAACGAAAATGCGCCAATGGTAAACTTCTATAAAGCAATACCGCACATGAGACTGTGAAGAGATATATTTGCAATGTTTTTTAAAGTTCCTAAAAATTCAGATGCTCGTTAAAATGCCTGATAAATCCCCAATCACATTTTTGCCTCATATATTGTTTTTTATACCTCATGTTTAGTAGCTTGTATAATCGTTTGACCTCTAACAATATTGCCAAAAACAGAGTCCTTTGAAGTCTTAAATTAAAGCGCACGCACAAGGGCACAAAGAGCGTAACTTCAAATCGAAAACTGAAGCTCCATTTTTTTCGACCTTTTCTCCAAAGCCAAAATAGGCCATATGAAAAGTGGCAAAAGCAAATGCAGAAGCGGAAGGTGTTAAGACCCCAGAAAATCCTCGTAGACTTTGAGCCAAGTCTTAGCTGGGTCATGCTGTTTCGGTTTTGTTTCCCAATCCCCGAATTTCGTTTTGGTTATTCGCTTCAATTGTCTTTCAGAAAAAGAAGTGGCGAAAAAAGGCTATGAAAAGCCGTCGAGGAGAAGAGTTGTTAAAGGAAACCCAAGAACAATGAAAAGCACAATAGTCTTGAAGTGCAAAGTTCTTCTCGCTTCTGCCATTTTTTGTGTCGAGATATAGTATTTTTTGAATAGGGAATGCTTGGTGTTGCATTGTTCCATTAATTAACAGTGGTCTTGAGAAGTAGTTTTTTAATAGATACAGTTTTGTTTTAATACTTGCGCTTAACTATGATAAGAAGAAGAAACACTCAGAATAAAAAAATAAAAAAGTTTAATATACCTTTCTTTGCTCTTAATTAAAGAAAGCAGCAAACGGGTATTTTGCTCATTTTGATTTTTAGTTCGGCTTAGTTGTTTAGTCTTGCCTTTCTTTAAGTAATTCGAATAATATAGGAGCTAAGACTATAGATAGAGTATTTATTAAATGAAATAATTCGATTAATTTAAAATGTTATGGCACAAAGTAGGCAAATTAAATAAAATTGTAAATAATTCATAGGCAGTCTGTCGAGCTTTTCCGTCCTTTATTGCTTTATTAAATTTACTTCTGTGCTTCGGATTATTATTCTATTAGGGGAGGTCGCTAATCGGGCATTAGAATGCCGCGAAATTGCCCCCGTCCAGAGTTTATCGGCCACGAAAGACCCTAAGCGCGCTTTCGCTGCAACTTTTACCTAAATTACAATCACTTAGAACACTTTTAGCAGACATTATGCACTCATTTTAGACTTCCGTCTAATTTACATGCTATTTAAATTATGCTGTTGCAAGGAGCGGCTCCTGCAAGGAGCAGGGCCACCCAGCGAAAGCCCGCACCCAATATATAAGGCAGCTTCATCAAAATGCCTGTCTGTACCCCGCCCTTTCACCCCATCCTCCCCCCTTTCCCATTGCGCTCCTTTTGCCATCATGGATGCTGTTCAAACTTGCAGCAGCTGCCGCAGCTACTTTGTAAAAACTTTTGTATGGCATGCAGCGCCGGAGGGATGCGGATCCTGAAGGACGAAGGATGCCGAATGAAGGACGGAGCGGCGGGCAGCCGCATCCCTGGGATCGCCTTGCTTAGCATCTCCAACTGCATAAAATTCTGCCCAATATAATTTAAAGAGCACACCCAAGTGGCCTTTACTACTCCTTCGTCCTGGCGGCGCTGGCTCCACACCT